AGGCTTGGTGTTTAATGTGTGTGCACTTATAATTTTTATGTCTTTGGGATACAGCGATGATTTTACTTTTGTGAAACGTCCTTCTTTCTTTCTGACAATGTTTCTTGTCTTTAAGCCTATATTGTCTGATATTAGTATAACTTCTTTTTATGGTTACTTTTTACAATATATATATTTCCATTCTTTTATTTTCAACTTATTTGGATATTGAATCTAAGGTGTTTCCCTTGTAGACAGCATGTAATTGGACGTTATTTTTTACTTTTTATTTTTTGAGATGGAGTTTTGCTCTTCTTGCCCAGGCTGGAGTGTAGTGGCGTGATCTCGGCTGACCGCAACCTCCGCCTCCCGGGTTCAAGTGATTCTCCTGTCTCAGCCTCCTGAGTAGCTGGGATTACAGGCATGCACCACCACGCCTGGCTAATTTTGTATTTTTAGTAGAGACAGGGTTTCTCCATGTTGGTCAGGCTGGTCTCAAACTCCCGACCTCAGGTGATCTGCCTGCCTCAGCCTCCCAAAGTGCTGGGATTACAGGCATGAGCCACTGCGCCTGGCCCAATTGGAGGTTAGTTTTTAATACATTGTACAATCTATCTCTGCTTTTTGGTTTGGATTTCTAGATCATTTGCATCAAATATAGGTATTTATATGGTTGAATTTATACTCAATATTTTGCTGTTTTTACTACTTATTTTCTTTGTGGTGATCCAGGTATTCTAATATATCTTAAATATCATGATTTACTTTAGATTAATATTTATTTCTGATAAAATATAGAAACTTTGCTCCAATATAATGGAATTCTTTCTTCTCTGTACTGTTCTTCTCACATTATTACATCCATATTTTTTATCCCAAATATATATCATCATAGTTATTGCTTTTTCACAGTGCTATATCTTTTAAAGACACTGAAAGGAGAAATTAGAAAAACTATTAAAGTCTTTTATGTTAGCTCACAAATGTACCCTGCTTTTTGAGTTACCATCTGGTGTTATTTCCTATTAGCCTAAATAAATTTCTTCAGTATTTCTTGTGAGACAGGACTTTATTTCACTATTTTAAAAACAGATTTTGCTGGATATAAAATTGTTAGTTGATAGATTTTTTTTTCTTTCAGCACTTTTTATGTCTTCACTGCCTTCTGGCCTACATTATTTCAAATGAACAATCTGCCACTAATTGTATTAATACAGCTTCCTTGTACATGATGAGTTTTTTTCTTGATATTTTCAAGATTTTCTCTTTATGTTTGACTTTCAACATATTAAATGATGTATCTTGGTGTGCATCTTCTTGTATTTTTTTTCTACTTGAGGTTGAATGAAATTTTAGATGTGTAGACTAATGTTTTCCCTAAATTTTGGATGGTTTTGGCCATTATTTGTTCAAATATTTTTTTCTGACCATGCCATTGTTTGGATGTTTGTTCTCCCAAATCCCATGTTGAAATTGGACCCCAGTGGTGGAGGTGGGGCCTTATTGGAGGTGTTTGGGTCATGATGTCCCTCACGAATGGCTTAGTGGCATCCTCATGGTAATTAGTGAATTCTTGATCTATTAGTTGAGACCTGGCGCCTCCCCCTCTCTCTTTCTTCCTCTCTCATCATGTGATCTGCTCCCCTTTGCCTTCCACCACGGTTGGAAGCTTCTTGAGACTCACATCAGAAGCAGATATTGTTGTCACGTGCAGAGATGTAATATCTACATGATTTCTTCAACTATAATCAACATCAGTGATGTCTGTGAGTTTCCCAGTAGATTAGGCTATGCTTGTGACTGGGGACTGTGGTGAGGCTTTACTGGGGATGGGGGAACCAGGCAAGCCAGTCCACAGTGGTGGCAGTGGCAGGTCAGGTGGATGGGGCCCTGGGCAGTGTGTGACAGCAGCAGTGGCAGTGGCAGCAGTGGGCCAGTCCTCAGGCTGTCTGATGGTGCATGTGAACAAACACCATTAGTGGTGGCAGTAGGCTAGGTCAGCCAGTTTCCAGGCTCCTGGCTGGTGCATGTGGGTGGGCACTGGTCGGGGTTGTGGCAGGCTAGGTGGGCCATTTTCCAGGCCCCTGGGAGGCATGCATGGGCACTGGTGCTGGTAGCAGATGGGGCTGGCCAGATATCAGATCCCTGGATAGTGCATGTAGGCACCAGGGGTGTTGGGTGAGCTTGCCCTCAGGCCCAAGGACTGCGTTTGGATGGGCTGGTCCTCAGGCTTACTGAAGGCCCATGCAACCGTGCTGTGGCCCTGCTGTGGGAGCGTGTGGGGTTGCTGTCAGTGTTGGCAGCCCCAGGCATGTGGCTCTCAGGCTCTGGGGAGTGCATGCTTCATCTCCCTTTGTCCTGGGGGCAGTCTTCCCAATGTGCTACATCACCCCTTCTCTGGGGCGTAGTACACGTTGTGGGCTAGAGTGCTGGGGACCCAGGTGCCCCACTTGTTCAGCTGGCATTGTGCTGCGACGGCCCTGTGGGTGGACATGGGGGGATGTCAGCAGGGCTCCAGGGCTGTGGAAATGGGTCTGCTGGGTCCCAGGGCAGGATACGATCTGCTGGGGCTGGTCTTTCAACATGGGGCTGTGCTGCCTCTGCTTGGGTATCGAAGGGTGAGTGGGACTCAGTGTGAATTCCCTCTGAAACAATTCAGTCACCAGGAGTGCAGCTAGGCAGGGCCCGTGAAGGGTCAGGGGCTCCCCTGTGGCTTGTATTGCAGGCATTCATGGAGGGACCCTGGACCGTGGAATACCTCTCGCTTGCTTCTTCTCTACAATGGGGACTTCTCCTGGCCAGCCCAGCTGCTTCTTTGCTTCCCTTTCCTTCCAGGCCTCAGAGGTTCCTTGTCCCTTCCCTGCTGAAATTCTACTTTTCTCTCCTAGATTCTCTGTTTGACATGTGCTTATCTGCTCACTGTTTTGGTACCTCTTTGTTGAGGAGGCAAACACAAATTTACCGTAATTGTTTAGTAAATTATCTTATGGCCTCCATTAATCAACTCATCTACACTCTAAGATCTACCTAAACTTCTCTATATAGCCTGCAAATCAAGGTATTTCATGATAACACCCATAGTGAAAGTATAGCTAAAAGAAGTATTATCTGGGATACTAACAATGGTTACTAAGTTTTGGTTTTGAGAAAAATATTCATCTAAGAACTGCTCAGGGAAACTGCTTGCACATCAAATCCACCTTAAAATAAGATAAAGATGGGGCCGGGCACAGTGGCTCACGCCTGTAATCCCAGCACTTTGGGAGGCTGAGGCGGGCGGATCACCTAAGGTTGGTAGTTCGAGACCAGCCTAACCAGCATGGAGGAACACCGTCTCTTCTAAAAATACAAAATTAGCCGGGCATTGTGGCACATGCCTGTAATCCCAGCTCCTTGGGAGGCTGCAGGAGAATCACTTGAACCCAGGAGGCAAAATTTGCTATGAGCTGAGATGGCGCCATTGCACTCTAACCTGAGCAACAAGAGTGAAACTCTGTCGCAATAAATAAATAAATAAATAAATAAATAAATAAAAAATAAAAATAAAAATATAAAGATGCTCAAGCATCTGTGTTCAGTTATCACATTCAGATCAGGCTCACTAAGGAGCTAGTGTCACCAATGCAAATTTAAAAAGTAGGATGCTCTGATGTTTCAGGATTAGGATTTTCTCTTTGGTGCTTCTGCTTTATATTTGCCATATGCCTGTTTTGGTTCTTTTCTCAATTTATGTCTGGTTTTTCTTTTTTAAAAATTAACTTTTGAAATTTTGGAAGAATTTTAGATATACAGAAAAATTGCTAAAAGACTACAGAGTTCCCATATATACTATTCACTCAGTTTCCTGTAATGTTAGCTCTTACATAGCTACATGGATACATTATATTTATTAAATACAAGAAATTAATATTGATACATTACTAGTAAGGAAACTGCTTTATTTAGATTTCTGGATTTCAACCAGTTTTTCTTCTACTGTCCATTTTGTTCTGGGATCCAATCCATGATACTACCCAGCACGCCCCCCTCTCAGGCTCCTTTGCTCTATTTCTCAGTCTTTCCTGGAATTTCATGACCTTGACAGTTCTGAGGAGGTCAGGTACTTTGGAGAACACCCCTCGATTTGCATTTGTCAATATTTTCTCATGTTCAGTGAATTTTAGGGAAGATTAACATAGAGATGAGGTGCTCTCCTCATGACATCGTATCGTGGGGTACATGATATCAAGTTGACTTACCACCAATGATATTGACTCTGGTTTTATTTCTGACCTGGCAACAACCTGCCTCATTCTTCTTTGATCTGTATGGTACCCTGGTTGCTTCTTATTTTCAGAGATCCTGGAATGCTTATCTTTTTTCTGTGTTTTGATATTTGTGTCCTTTTCATTTTTATACGTTTTAACTAATTTTTTCCTCTGTTTCTCTAACTCTTGCTTTTCACATGTTCCCTTTTGCTGTACAAAATCTCATCACTGAGGTTCACTGACATACAGATATTCCAACCTATTGTCATTCATATTCTAACTTGAAAATAGTAGAGATAAAATCAAAGACAATATTAAATTTTGTTCAATAATCTTCTGTTTAAAATATAGGGAAAAGGCAATACATCTTAGGAGAGTTTTTAAGAAAATGGTTAAATAATTTTTATGATGGACAGAGTAAGCTTCACTGATGTGGACTATCCTCTTATCCCAATGATGCCACCTAAATAGGTATTTTAGCATAGCACGTGGCCTATTCATTCATAAGAGGTTACAGGTTAGTTACAGGTAGATTTTTAATCCTATGTCAATCCTTAGACTGGGTTTATTTGTGTGGAAATAGTAAAAGTCCATTATAAAATAAGTAAATATTTATTTTTTTGATGTTTTGCTGCAGATTTTAAATCTCATGTAGTCTGAGAAATGTAATGAAGATGTTTTAAGCATTGTTGGAAGAGATTAATTGATATAAAACTGTTGTTTTGCTTCTTGTATTGAATTTGTCTTCACTCTCGGTTGTTTTCAATTCTCTAGGAACAAATATCCTATATTATTCCAATAGATGAGAAACCGTACACTGTGCACCTTAAACAGAGGTAAATTTTTATTCTTTAGTTTTGGATTTTATTTTGTTTCTATGAAGCTGTTTACTCATAATAGAAAATGGAGTATGAGAAAAATACATGGAATTATTATTAATTTTTAAAATTGTCTTAAGTAAACAGATGCTCTCCTGTGGCTTAAAGTTTGTTTGGTTTTTTTTTTTTTTTTTAAAATTTATTTATTATTATTAGACTTCAAGTTGTAGGGTACATGTGCACAACGTGCAGGTTTGCTACATATGTATATTTGTGCCATGTTGGTGTGCTGCACCCATCAACTCGTCATTTACATCAGGTATAACTCCCAATGCAATCCCTCCCCCCTCCCCCCTCCCCATGATAGGCCCCGGTGTGTGATGTTCCCCTTCCCGAGTCCAAGTGATCTCATTGTTCAGTTGCCGCCTATGAGTGAGAACATGTGGTGTTTGGTTTTCTGTTCTTGTGATAGTTTGCTGAGAATGATGGTTTCCAGCTGCATCCATGTCCCTACAAAGGACACAAACTCATCCTTTTTTATGGCTGCATAGTATTCCATGGTGTATATGTGCCACATTTTCTTAATCCAATCTGTCACTGATGGACATTTGGGTTGATTCCAAGTCTTTGCTATTGTGAATAGTGCTGCAATAAACATACGTGTGCATGTGTCTTTATAGCAGCATAATTTATAATCCTTTGGGTATATACCCAGTAATGGGATGGCTGGGTCATATGGTACATCTAGTTCTAGATCCTTGAGGAATCGCCATACTGTTTTCCATAATGGTTGAACTAGTTTACACTCCCACCAACAGTGTAAAAGTGTTCCTATTTCTCCACATCCTCTCCAGCACCTGTTGTTTCCTGACTTT